GGTCGCGTCGTCGTCGTCGCTCGTCGTTCGTCGCTCGTCGCGTCGTGCGCGCGGGCGCGGTTGTGGTGCCGGAGCCACACGGCGGGGGGGGCGTTACGTCATACCCCCCCTCGCCCCCCCCCCCCATGACGCCCGTCATCGCCGAACATAAAGAAAAGCGTTCTTGGGACCCTCTTGAGGGCCTCTTGGGTCGTCATGGGGCGGTCCTGGGGGGTTCCCTGGGGTTGTTTTGGAGCGGCGGGAGATCGACGAGACGAAAACATAAAACGCAGAACGGTTCAATGAAGATCCACGTGTCTTGCTTCGTTGGGCTCTCTGGGAGGTCCTCTTGGGGCCCTCTAGTGCGTCTTGGAGCGATCTTGAACTGTCTTGGAGGCCTCTTGGCGGCCTGGGTGGGCTTTCCTGGGCAGTCATGGAAGCCTCTGGGAGCCCCAGGGGGTTGCCATGGCCGCCCAGGGACCCCCCAGGAGTAGGGGTGGTGCAGGTGGTTGGATGCTTTCCGTGGAGGTGGGGGGTCCCTTAGAAGAATACAGAAACCCTGCCAGACAACCCTTGGCATTATTCTACCCGTCGACGTGCTGCAGGAACGGTGGCGGATCGAGGTTCCCGCCCGCCCCCCAGGGTGCTGGTTGCAAACCACACCCTTAGCAAACCACACCCTTCGGAGTCGCCGAGTGGTGGGCGAGGCCTGCGGGATCTAACCACGCGCACAAAGGGGGCGGGGGGTAAGGGGAGAAGGCTTCTTAGAAGCACCACTGGTTCTCAGATGGCGCGGGCCTCGACTGTAACTAGATGTAAGACCGGCGCCCTCTGAGAAGCAACCTCCTTCCAAGAAGCCCTGCCCCTTCCCCCCTACCTCCTTGTGCGCGATGCCAGGTCTGGTGCTGGACCACAGGATTCCCTCCCTTCGCTGGCTTGCCCGCTTTGACTTCCCCCTCACCCCCTCCTCCTCTTCTTCCTCCTCCTCATCCTTCTCCTCCTCTTCCTCCTTCTCCTCCTCCTCCTCCTCCTCCTCTTCCTCCTCCTCCTCCTTCTCCTCCTCCTCCTCCTCCTTCCCCTCCTCCTCCTCCTCCTCCTCCTCCTTCTCCTCCTCCTCTTCCCCTCCTCCTCCTCCTCCTCCTCCCCTCCTCCTCCTCCTCCTCCTCCTCCTCCTCCCCCATCCTCGTCCTTCTCCTCTTCCTCCTCCTCCTCCTCCTTCTCCTCCTCCTCCTCTCTCCTCCTCCTCCTCCTCCTCCTCCTCCTCCTCCTCCTCCTCCTCCTCGTCCTCCTCCTCCTCCTCCTCCTCCTCGTCCTCCTCCTCCTCCTCCTTCCCTCTCCGCGGCCTCCCAAAGCCGCGCACCAAAGGTTACTCTTTTGCCTGGGTCACTCGTGCGTGCAGCCGATGAGAGCAGGGGTGTTGGCTTCTCCTCTCGTGCCGGAGCTCCGGCGGCGCCGGCCATTAGAGTAGGTAGGTGTGGGGTTGCGTGCGCCCGCAGCCAAACGGACCTCGGCCGCACCCATTCTTCGGGGGTGGACAGAACCCCCAACAGTGACACGTCGATTAGTGAATTGTCCGTTTTCGGTTCTCGAGAGGGCGCCGCGGCCGTTATTTTCTAGGCTTGCGCCCCCCAGGTTTGGGCCCGAGGTCGTTTTCACTAAACCACGTTTTACTAAAGGGAGGTCTGTCCATCCCCGAATTCTGGGTGATGCTCACCAGATCGCGGGAAGTTCCATGCTGCTTGCGCTCGCAAACATTATACCAGTATCGAAGACGCCTACGGCGAGTCACTGCCGCCCCCGGCCTCTCTGGAGCGCTGATATGGCCAGACGGTGGGCCAGAGCTTGGACTATGCGCTCCCCTGGCCGTTGCCGAACCCCTTGGGGGGAGTTCTTGGGCAGAGAAGAATGGAAGGAGCAGGAGAGGACGGAGAATATGGTTACCGCCTGGCGGTCGAGCTTCGGGGGACTTCTCGGGGCCAGGAATATGGCCACTACACTGTGTTATGTTTGTCCACCACTTCGTGGCAAGTGGCGGCTAGTGCCTAGATGTTGTTTCAACACTTGTCGCCGCCAGAAAGCTGTGCATCATACGTTGTCCCGTGGCGTTTCTGCGAAGCCCCATGGGACAGGGCCCAGGTACCTCGACAGGCGGTGGAAATGGACATTACCTTCGGGCCCTGGGGGGGCCAAATGTGTCATATCCACCGCTTGTCGAGGTCTTCGAAGGTCGATCCCCAGGCACTGAGTATGCATGAATCCCCGCCTCGGAGCGTCGCTGTCGCTGGCATTCGGTCGGCTCGGTTTTGCCGATTGTTGCCTCGCCGCTGCGTCGCTGCGCCTGCCTCCCTCTGACGACGTAAAACATGCAACATCGGGAAACGGCACGACTCGAGCCCCAGACCGCATCTTGCTGTTGCGTATTTCGAGCCGGATCGTTCTGTGGGTGTCCTATGGCGCGAAGCCGGACGATTGCGCCCGCTGTGGAAAAATTGCCGCGCCAGGATTTATGGATTTGAGGGCCCGCCGCGCTCGCTCCGGTGTTCGGGCCGCTTCCGGTCGGGCCGCCACCGTAGACCGTAGATGGGGAAACCACAAGGTGCTGATCCTTCTGCTCCCCTGACCTCTCCTGGGGTGCGTTCTGGCCAGGATTTCGAAGCGAATCCAGCGGTGGCAACGAGGGCCTCCGAGGAGGCCGATCATGGGGAAAGCGGGCGAAGTGTAGCGGTATCGGTACCTTTTCCTCTTCTGAGTGGAGGACCCCACGTGGCCGCCCCGGCCCCGGCTCCTCCAGGGGGGCGGGGGCCGCGCGCGGGGCGCGCGCCGCGCCGACGCTCACACAGTTGCGAAGCAGTTCAGCGTGCCTGCAGGCCCACCAAAGAATGTTCTAAGAGCCCCTTGTGGCTTGCGCGACATGTGTTCTTAGAACATCTCTGGCTCAGACTGTCTTGTTTTGACATGTCGGGCTTATGTTCTAATAACATGGCTGTCGTTCTTGGAGCATTTGTGGGTTCTAAGGGCATTTCGTGGTAGATTTATACCCATGCCGGGACGATCGGCCCCTGCTCAATACATGGAGGGGCAGCGAGGGCTGCAGAAACGGGCCCGTTCAGGGCCTCTAAGAAAAACCCTTCTGGCCCCAAAGGGGCCTTCCGGGCCCGAGCAGTGCACCTTTCCCTCCCCCCCTTTGCACCTTTCCCTCACCCCCTTATGCCCTAAGAACAATGTTTCTGTTTTTAGAACCTTTTTCTGTTCCTACGATCATGTCGTGGTAGGCCTGTAGGAATGCCGGGACGGTCGGCCCCTGCTCAAGTCGAGGAGGAACAAAAACGCCCCGACCCCCCCATCGGTCGGCTGTTCGAAGGTGGGGCCCCGAGGGGCAGGCTAGGCAGAAATCCCAGCTCGAGCTTGCCTTGCTCGAGGCCCCAACCTCGGCCACGCGCAGAGGGGGGTAAAGGGGGAAGGCTTGTCAGAAGCACCCCTGCTTCTCGGAAGGCGCGGGCCTTATCTATAGATGCAGGGCTGGCGCCCTCTTAAGTAGCAGCCTCTTGCTGTCAAGCCTTCCCCTCGGCCCCTACCCCCTTCAGGCGATCGCAAACATGGATCAAGCGGCGTGGATTAGCGACCGGTCCCGCTTCGATGGGAAACACGGGTTTCCGCCGCCGAACGAGGCGGCACCGGCCGCATTTTGGGGAGGGCACCTCCCCCGATCCATGGACTTGGCGACCGCGCGCCAAATCCATGGATCGCTAATCCATGCTTGCGCGCCCCCGACCATGTGCGCGCCGTCAAGAGCCCCATGAGTTCGGCGGCTCACATATTCGAAGAAGAAGAAGAACAATGATATAATCTGCATAAACATGAACTCTCGGAGCTTCGCGCCGATCTATCGGATCAGCCCTAGGCCCCCTTGGCCGCTTCTCCAGCGCCGTCCTTGGTGCACTCCGCGCGCAGGCGGGGGGGGGGCGTTCAGCGCCGATCCGAGAATTCCGCGCGGAGCTCGGCGGAAAGTTTGTGATTTCTGTTCCACTAAGGATGGGGCCCCGAGGGATGGGGCGGCCCCACGGGGTAGGACAAGATCCCCGCTTGAGCTTGCACTGCTCGAGGCCCCCTCGTCTGCAGGACCCCATCCTGCAGGGCCCCGGTTTCGAACCGCCGAGTGGTCGGCGGTCTCGGAGCAGCTCTGAGCGCCTGCTGGGCAGCACTCTTGCTTGGCATCGCTCGGGCGTGTGCATTTTTTCCTTCGGCGAGGGCCATCGAGGAGCATCCTTGACCATTTGGCGAAAAGACCACGCACGACACCGAAAAAAACACAGGGCTTGGACGTCCGAGCGATGGCGAGCTTGTCCTCCTCGACTTTCCTCCTCGCAGGGGCGTTTGCTGGGCGGCCTCGCCTGCCAGAAGTTAGAGGGTGGCTCTCCGCCCTCTCATAAGAGCCGACGCTGCGCATACAGTCGGGGCGCTGAAGAAGGAACCCTTTTCGTTGGGGAGGGGCTCGGTGTTCCTTAAGTGTTCCACACCTTGCCCAAGGTCTTCCTTCAGCTTTCGATGGGAAGTCGAAGGTTAACTTATGTGAAAAAAGGGGCCTCGTTCCTTATTTAGGGTTCCTTAGGTCAGCGCCCCAACTGTAAGACGCCAGACTGCAGAAAATCACGACTGGAGCCCTGGACCCCACCCTCCTGCTGCGCCCTCCTGGCGGGAGACCGACCTGCGATCCTGGCCCCTGGGGCGGCCCGAAGCCGCGCGAGACCGCCCGGCGAGAACACCTCGCAGCGCACGCACGGCCGCGCCTGCGCGGCTGCGGCGGTGCCGCCGCCGCCGCCGCCGCCGCCTCCGCCGGCGCCGTCGTCGTCGTCGTCGTCGTCGCCAGCGTCGTCGTCGTCGTCGTCGTCGTCGTCGTCGCCGTCGCCGTCGTCGTCGTCGTCGTCGCCAGAGGACGCCAGCGCCGCCGACGGGAGCGACGGGAGCGCGAGCGACGGGCCCTGCTCGCCCGCGCGCCTCCGCCCCCCCCCCGTGCGGCGCAGGAGGCCCGCCGAGACGGCCCTGAGCGTGGGCGCGCCGGCCGCCGGGGTTTCGCGCCGGCCGCCGGGGTTTGGCGCGGGAGCGGCGCGCGGCCGCCGGGGCGACGCCTGGCTATCGGTGGTTCGGAGCGCCGGAGCGCCGGTCGTTTGAGTCCCAAAACAGGCCGGGAGCCAAGAGACGGGGGTCAATGCAGACGGGGGTCAGCCAGGGCGCCGGATCCTGCAGGATCCTGCGGAGACCCCTTCTGGCTGACCCGGGTTAGTGAGCCGCTCGTGGCCGCGAGGCGGCCGCGCATATTGGCCGACCCAGGTTTGCGAAGGCCTGCGTTGCAGTTTTTTTTGTTCATGCATTGCAGTTTTTGGTTTCCTGCTGACCCGGGTCTGGATTGACCCGGGTCAGAAGGTCCCCGAACAGGGGGGCCACAATTGGGGGAGCTGTGGTCCTTACCCCCCTGGGGGACCCATCGATTTCGACACCCCTCTCGAGAGATCGTCGATACGATGGGTTCGGGTTCCCCCAGGGGGGTAAGGACCACAGCTCCCCCAGTTATGGTTGGTCGGCAAGAGGGATGGGCGACTTCCGAGCCTTCCGAGAATGCCCGCCCACTCTCACTTCCACCCCCAAAGGCGCGCCGCCGAACAGAGGGGGCCCCGGGGGCCTCAAAGCACGTCGGTCGTCGACAGCAGGTGTTGATTGTCATGCCCTGATCCCACTCTACGTCAAGCGCTTGCCTACTTCAAGAATTGATCTGCTCGTGCTGTGTCTTTTTATTATGTGGCAGGGCCTGAACCCAACCTACTTCATGTTTTTACCCAACTCTTCCGACCGACGTGTACCGTTAACTTTGCCTCGCTTTCCTTTCTGGGGGTTCTCCTGGTAGGCCCTCGTCACCACCGCTGGATTCGCTTCGAAATTTTGGTCAGAACACACCCTGGAAGAGGTCCCTAGAGTGGCGGTATCGGTACTTTTTGGTTTCCCCGAGGGAAAGGGTTCCAGCGCCGATCGAAGACATCCGCGCGGACCTTCGAAAGCTTACAGCTGCTTCTTCACCTGGTAGAGCGGAGTTGTCCCAAGGCGGGCTCCGGGACCCGGCCCAGCGGAGTACCCCATCTCTTGCTTCCAGGGGTCGTGCAGAGCGATGTTCCTCAAACGCCCCACCTCTGCCCCTGCCTTGGCCTCTTCACACAAGAGGGAAACAGCACACAGCCACGACGAGTCGTCGATTCCCAGGAGAATGTTGAGAAACAAAGTCGAAGTGGAGGGGAAGATGAATCCCCAGAAAACCTTGGAAATATGGGGAATCCTGGGATTTATGCCTATCTCTTTGTGTGCCCCTGGGCCTCTACCAGGGCGTGCCCCCAGCGCCGGCCGGCGCGCGTTCGGATCTGCCCCCCCCCCCCCCGCGTGCCAGAAGTGAGGCCAGTCTTGCGGTGGGTCGCCCTTGCGTGCACCGAGGGGAGAACACGCCGACCAGACTTCAACTACACGCACGAGTGGCCCTTCGCCGGAGCGACCTTATAAGTGCGGGCCCGCCGGGGCTCCCCGATCGCCGAGTGCGGTGCGATATCGTGGCGTCTTGCGCGCCTGTGTTTTGTCCCCCTGCGGCCTTCAAAAAGCTGCTCACCAAAGATCACTCTTGCCCAGGGCCACCTTTCGGGGGTGGACAGAACCCCCACCCTGACACGTCGATTAGTGAATTGTCCGTTTTCGGTTTTCGAGAGGGCGCCGCGGCCGTCATTTTCCAGGCTTGCGCCCGCCAGGTTTGGGCCTCAGGTCGTTTTCACTAAACCACGTTTTACTAAAGGGGTTTCTGTCCATCCCCGAACCTTGCGTGTGGCCGAGTGACCACGATGTCGCGGGATTTTATAGGCGTCGGTCTTGGCCATGGTCCATACCAGCCGTCGCAGATTCGCGAGGATGCTCTAGGAGTTGGCGCTGGCCCGGGTGGACCGACCAGGATGGGCGCCGACGTTTCCACGTTCAGTTTTCGTTGTTGTTGTTGTTGTTGGTGGTGTTGGTGTTGGTGTTGTTGTTGGTGGTGGTGGTGTTGTTATTGTTGGTGGTGGTTGTGATGGTGGTTTTGGTGGTGTTGTGGTTGTTGCTGTTGTTGCTGTTGTTGCTGTTGCCGTTGTTGTTGCCTGTTGCTGTTGTTGTTTTTGGTGTTGTTGTTGTTGCTGCTGCTGCGGTTGTTGTTGTTGTTGCTGTTGCTGCTGCTGTTGCTGTTGTTGGTGTTGTTGTCGTCGTCGTCGTCGTCGTCGTTGTTGTTGTTGTTGTTGTTGGTGTTGGTGTTGTTGTTGTTGGTGTTGTTGTCGTCGTTGTTGTCGTTGTTGTCGTTGTTGTCGTTGTTGTTGTTGGTGTTGTTGGTGTTGTTGGTTTTGTTGGTGTTGTTGTTGTTGGTGGTGGTGGTGGTGTTGTTGTTGGTGTTGGTGTTGGCGTTGGTGTTGGTGTTGGTGTTGGTGTTGGTGTTGGTGTTGGTGTTGGTGTTGGTGTTGTTTGTGTTGGTGTTGGTGTTGGTGTTGGTGTTGGTGTTGGTGTTGTTGTTGTTGGTGTTGGTGGTGTTGTGGTTGATGTTGGTGTTGGTGTTGGTGTTGTTGTTGGTGTTGTTGTTGGTGTTGGTGTTGGTGATGGTGATGGTGTTGGTGTTGGTGTTGGTGTTGGTGTTGGTGTTGGTGTTGGTGTTGGTGTTGTTGTTGTGGTTGTTGTTGAACATTATTTATTCTAAAGAATAATTATTGTTGGGCCCCCTGGTGCGCGCCCCCCCTGCGCCGCCTAGGCCGCAGCTACATTTTCATCATTTTCGTGAGGAAGCCTCAGAAAAGAGGGTGTGTACAGGATCCGGTTGTTTTGTTGTAATCCGCTTTCCCTTGCAAAAAACAATAGAAAATGACATTTCTTGTTCTAATATAATCAAATTTCAAGAATCCCTTGCAAAAAATAAGGTAAAGTGGACATTCGCGCGCGCAAGACGAAATCCTTCCAAAACCTTAGTGTTCGCAGCGATTTTAACATAAAAACATCAAAAAACCAATGGTTTTTCAACAAAAAATTGTCAAAATCTCATCCCGCGCGCTCTTGCGGATTCGTAGGAAACCCAACACTTTTTAAACATTTCTGTCAAACGGGCTTTTGCGAGCAACTTTTTCGAACTTCTGCGACAACGGTTGCGCACCTGCCAGGGCCATCATCCCTGTCAAATAATACCATGCGGGACACATTCGTTTTTTCTTCGCGCGCGCACGCCGTCGTCGTCGGCCGCGGGGCCCTGAATAGTAGCCACGGTCGTCCGCATGCCACGAAGTGAAGTGTCCGAACGTCATAGGGCGGGAAGCTGGGTGTGGGTGGTGGCGAAGAGTCGTTTGGAAATTTGGTAGAGCTTGAACCGGCCCCCCCACAAAGTGGGGGTATTGCCCGCCTCCTATGAAAACCCTGGCACTGGTGAGAACGGAGTGTCCCCACGTGCTAGTAATTGTTGTTGTTGTTGTTGTTGTGTTGTTGCTGCTGCTGTTGTTGTTGTTGCTGTTGCTGTTGCTGTTGTTGTTGTTGTTGTTGTGTTGGTGTTGTTGTGTTGATGTTGTTGTTGTTGTTGTTGTTGTTGTTGTTGTTGTTGTTGTTGTTGTTGTGGTTGTGGTTGTGGTTGTGGTTGTGGTTGTGGTTGTGGTTGTTGTTGTTGTTGTTGTTGTTGTTGTTGTTGTTGTTGTTGTTGTTATTCTCTCTCTCTCTCTCTCTCTCTCTCTCTCTCTCTCCCCCGTCGACTCGCGACGCCTCCTTTTCGCGGCGCCAGCCTTGAGCGGGCAGTTTTTGCGGCGGCGACCGTGTGGCCAGGGCGTCCCGCTGCAGGGGTCGTTCGGCCGTCCGCGCCAGGGCGCCCAGCTCCGCAAAAACCTCTCCACTGGCACGCAAACGCCTCCATTTGTTGGTCGCCCCTGCGCCGCCCCGAAGGCATTTCCAGAGTGTCCCCTTCCTCCTTCAGCCTGCGCGGCCGCCCTCCTCTGTCCGCCCGCCCCGGTGCGCCCAGTGCCCCGCGTGGCCCGCTGGCTCTGCAGTCGCGCCTGCGTCCGCCAGCGCTGCCGACATTCACGCGCAAGCTGCCCGCGTAAGGTCGCGCGTGAGCGCCCCGTGCCGATCTTCCTCCTCCTCCTCCTCCTCCTCTTCCTCCTCCTCCTCCTCCTCGTCCTCCTCCTCCACGCCGTATGCCACGGCGGCGGCTCGCGCAAGCCGCGGCGCAAGGTCGCGAGGTCTTCTCGCACGAGACTCGTTGCTTCTCGTCGCTCGAACTGACTGCCCGCCGGTCGCCAGAAGGATGCATTTCTGGACTTCGAGTTCCCCATATCTGCTCTACGCGCCTTCCTACTTCACTCCTCGAGTGCCTTTTCATTGTCTTTCCTCTTCAGGAGGCCGGCGGAAACCCCACCTGGGTCGGCCCTGAGGGTGCCCTTTGTGTCCTGTGTGTTCGCAGCCCGTGTTTTCTACATTCCTGTGGAGCTGTGGCCCTCGGAAAGGGTGTCGTGTCCTTTCGCGTGTCCTCTCCAAGCAACCCCGCCTGTACTCCCAACCCCTTCTTACTTCAAGCTTCCAACCACGTCTCCTGGCCGACGGGCAATTCGAAAAGGACGCCCCGCGACAGCGGCAGCCCACCCGCCGCCACGGCCGGGCGCGGTTCGGAGAGAGCTGGCGCTTCTGGCCCCCGGGAGGGGCTCGGGGACCGAGTTTGAGCTGCCGTGTTCCGGACCCGTCGCTCGAGTGGAGGAGTGGGCGAGAAGGAGGATGCCCAGGATTTTCGCCATCCCGTAGGGATAAAAACACAGGCTCAACTCCCTTGTCAGCATTGGGGAACAAGTCCCTAGAAATCCGATCGAGGTATTCTCGGATAGGAGTGCTGCACGGTTTGCCTAAGCCCCTGAGCTGGGCCTGACCGAAATAACCGCATGTGCCGCAGTACCATATCTTCAAAGTGTGGTGATCTACTAGTGCGTGTGAGGGGTCGACCCAGCCTCCTGCGTGATGCAACCTACGCCCCCGGGGCAGACGGGATAACCTACCATCCACGG